ACTTCCTCTCCCCGCGGAAGCGTGGCTTCGCCGACGAACTTCCTCACCCCACAACGGCGGCTGAGCAAGCACTGGAAATTTCTAGAAGGAAAGGGGCGTGTTATGCCGGGTTGAGTCATCTGTCGGGGACGACCCTCGTACAGTCTCGCGCCTCTCCCCAGCCTTCACTGCGTATCGCGCCGACGAAATGACGAGAACCTTCTGGAATCTCGCGCGGAAGGTATTTAATCGAGCGGCCGAGACGCGAGAGCAGGAGAAGACGGATGTTAGCGCCAGAGCGCGTAGGGTATACCGCCGTGTAGTCGGCGAAGGTTTTGTCGGTAGAGACAAAGCGGGAGAAGAAGATGATTTCCACCTGAGGGGTGACGACTCGAGCTACAGGCAAGAGTGTGTGTTTACCGCTATCGAGCGAAGACGCGTGGCAACGGCTGCATGTGTGAAGCCGACGTGTTTCCGGCGAAGTTTGAAGCTTGGAGAGAGGCCAATTGAAGACGCGAGGTTTCCTGGAAGAGAAACTTCAGGGGCAGCGGAACGACAACAACGCTGGACTTTGAGTGAGTGATTCTCGGAAGAGTATCATCCAGACTTTTGTTCCAAGAACTTTGGACTGAATAGGTTTCCTATCTCTTTAGTATTTAAGTGTCTTGGTTGTTCAATGCATGCGACTGCATTGTAGTGCGTATTGTTGTCTGTGTCCGTTGTTTCGAGTGTGGCTGATTGTACTTTGTAGTACGTTGTTTGATTGGCGACATATTGTATGCAACTATTGTGGAGCGTGCATTCTCGTGTGTTGTTTTCGATCTGCAATTATTGAGAATATAATTTTGTTTGTTTATCAACTCTCGGCTCTGACTTGTTCTTTGGGCCACAGCCGGCGTCCGCTGGCGCGCCTAAAAGGACCACTTCTAAATTGTCCACGCTTTCGCGGTGCAGTTCGGGGGGCCGACACTTCGGCCTTTGGAATTAGCCCGGCGATCGCCTCCCTGATTAACGGGACCTGTGTGACAATTAATCTGGCGTCCGCGACACAAGACCTTTTGGTGCACAGTGTGTCCAAAGTAGTGAGAAAGAGCCTCGAGTTGTTGATAGTGCTATCGGAACTATTTTGTGTGTTGTTCAGTGTTCTCGTTAACAAGTGCAGGGGAGTGTTCCGATAGGCTGATTTAGGCAGTTACTTTTTGCACACGGCCAGACTTTAATTGCGAGACACGATGGATCTCGAAAAGTTAGTAGCTCTTGGTGAGAAGATGGGTCTTTCTGGTGTCGAACTACGGAAGTGGGTAACCCAGAAGGAAAAAGAAGAAAAGGAGAGGGCCAAAGAAGAAAAAGCAGCTGAGCTGGAAAAAGAAAGGTTGGCGGTCGAAAGAGCCAAAGCGGAAAAGGAAGCTGAATTGGAACGAGAAAGGTTGGCAGCTGCGAGAGAGAAAGAAGAAAGAGAGGCAAAGGAGCGACAGCTGAAAGAAGAAAGAGAGCAGCAATTGAAGTTGGAGCTGGAGAGAGAAAAGATGGCAGCCGAAAGGGCGAGAGAAGAAAGAGAGGCAAAGGAGCGACAGCTGAAAAAAGAAAGAGAGCAACAATTGAAGTGGGAGCTGGAGAGAGAAAAACTGGCAGCTGAGAGGGCGAAAGAAGAAAGAGAAGCGGAGATGGCTGAAAGGGAACGGCAGCGGCAGCACGAGATGGAACTCGAGCGGCTCCGTTTGCAACAGCGAAGTGAAACTCCCGTCCAAGCTAGAGTTGAAAGCAGCGAACGGGAAGATCATGGCTTCCGCTTGAACCCGAGCAAGCTGCTCGTAGCGTTTAATGAAAGGAAGGACGACCTTGACGCGTACCTTCACCGATTTGAGACGATTGCAAGGAGCCAGAATTGGCCGGAACATCAATGGGCAACTGCTTTGAGCACTTGCTTGAGTGGTGAAGCGCTCAGTGTGTACGGTAGGCTGACGCTGACCGATGCAGCCAACTATGCAAAGGTGAAAACTGCTTTGCTGAAGCGATTTAGATTTACCGTAGAAGGTTTCCGGGACAGATTTCGGACAGGAAATCCAGCTGATGGTGAGACGGCTACGCAGTATGCCACCCGACTTTGCCATTATTTCGACAGATGGATTGAACTTTCAGGGACAGCGCAGGAGTACGATGAGCTTAGAGTTACTAGTTGCCACCCAAGCCTGTCGCTGTACTTGAAAGAGAGGAAGGCTGAGTCACTTGAAAGAATGCTTGAATTGGCTGATCAATTCTTGGAAGCGCAAAGTGGCACTAATTTGGCCAACGTCAAAAAGGATTGTCCCGAAGATTCGAAGACATCGGTTCCCGAAGAAAAGAAGCGTGCACCGGAGAGCATTCCTCGATGTTTTCTGTGTAACCGAGTGGGTCATCGCGCGAAAAACTGTCGAGTGATCTTTACGAGCCCTACGGTTGTAAAATGTTTCAAGTGTGATCAGACTGGGCACAAAGCAGACGCTTGTCGAAACGGAGTGAGTCAAACTCACCAGGTATCCTGTGTGCAAGCGGCACCGAAATCCGGTAATAATGCCGTCACCGACGGATTCGTAGAGTTGAAAAATGGGGAGAAAATTCCCATTGTGGGTGCTGTAATGACAAAACAGCCAACCGGTGTTACGAAGGGATGCCAACGCTGCCTGGAAAAATTGCGGACAAAAAGATTACGGTGTTAAGAGATACCGGCAGCTCCACTGTTATCGTGCGGAGAAATCTGGTGCGGGAGAGTGAGTTAACAGGCAAAACGAAACCGGTTTGCCTAATTGACCGTACGGTTCGAATGCTTCCCGAAGAAGAAATTGAGGTTGGAACCCCGTACTTCAGCGGGAAGGTTACTACTTTATGCATGACGACCCCCCTGTACGACCTTGTCATCGGGAACATCGACGGGGCGCGAGGACCGAATGATCCGGAATGTTTGGGAGAAGACCCTAAGATAGAGCCTTCGCCAACCCAGCGACCGCGAGATACAGTGGAGGAGCATCCCGTGACGGATCTCACTAGAGCCCAAGGTGAAGCCGCGGCGCAAGAGACAGCGAATGAGAACATGATCGTGTTGAATGACTTCACGGGCCGAGCAGCTGGACTTACGTCGGCACGACCTCAACCCAGCGACAGTGTAAAGGTGACGGAGTTGGCCAGCCAGGCCAAATGTTGGGACGTGAACAAGCGGGTGAATAACCGGGCAGGATCGGTTGAGCGTCATGACCCGTTAGCAGTGTCGGAAGTGACAACGATGGCTGAGACGCTGCCTCAGATACCGTCGTTGGAAGAGGCTCGCCGGAACAAAACGAGCAAAAAGAATAAGAAGAGATCGAGCGAGCACCGCAAGAAAGGACGCAAGCGCAGCTCGAAATACTCAGGATAGGTGCTGAGGTGGAATCGGAATGTGTTTGGCAGGGCTGAGTGACATATGTTGTGTCAATAATCTTGTTATCCTGTGTCACAAGTGTATGCCGAGCGAGTCAAAGTGTTCTGTGCGATGATGTGATGTATAGTGTTGTATAATTGTTGTGAAGACAGAACTTTGTACGTTTGTATTGTTTGGAATGTGTGATGAAGTGTTGTAGTCATGTACCTGTGGCTATATTTCATGTGTTGTGGAATTGAACTACAATGTACGATTGTATTGAGTGATCTATTGTGAATGTGAAGTGTCATGAGCGACGGACTATGTTACAGTCTTTAAGTGTGTGGTGACTGTTCGCGCTCGTTTGTGGGGTTTTGAATATTATGAGATAATATTCTTAAAGTGGGGGGGGGGGCAGTGTCACAGAACAAGCGCTCAAAAAGAGCGAGCCGCCAACTCCTCGCGACGAAACACCGGAGTGACGCCGCGAGGTCTACGATAAAAGAAAAAGGAAAAAGAAAACAAGCTCCCCGGGCACGGTTCCTCTCCCCGCGGAAGCGTGGCTTCGCCGACGAACTTCCTCACCCCACAACGGCGGCCGAGCAAGCACAGGAAATTTCTAGAAGGAAAGGGGCGTGTTATGCCGGGTTGAGTCATCTGCCGGGGACGACCCTCGTGTAGTCTCGCGCCTCTCCCTAGCCTTCGCTGCGTATCGCGCCGACGAAATGACGAGAACCTTTTGGAATCTCACGCGGAAGGTATTTAATTGAGCGGCCGAGACGCGAGAGCAGGAGAAGACGGAAGTTAGCGCCAGAGCGCGTAGGGATTCCGCCGTGTGGTCGGCGAAGGTTTTGTCCATAGAGACAAAGCAGGAGAGGAAGATGATTTCCACCTGAAGGGTGACGACTCGAGCTACAGGCAAGAGTGTGTGTTTACCGTGGCAACAGCTGCGTGTGTGAAGCCGACGTGTTTGCGGCAAAGAAGTTTGAAGCTTGGAGAGGGGCCAATTGAAGACGCGAGGTTTCCTGGAAGAGAAACTTCAGGGGCAGCGGAACGACATCAACGCTGGACTTTGAGTGAGTGATTCTCGGAAGAGTATCATCCAGACTTTTGTTCCAAGAACTTTGGACTGAATAGGTTTCCTATCTCTTTAGTCTTTAAGTGTCTTGGTTGTTCAATGCATGCGACTGCATTGTAGTGCGTATTGTTGTCTGTGTCCGTTGTTTCGAGTGTGGCTGATTGTACTGTGTAGTACGTTGTTTGATTGGTGACATATTGTATGCAACTATTGTGGAGCGTGCATTCTCGTGTGTTGTTTTCGATCTGCCATTATTGAGAATATAACTTTGTTTATTTATCAACTCTCGGCTCTGACTTGTTCTTTGGGCCACAGCCAGCGTCCGCTGGCGCGCCAAAAAGGACCATTTCTAAATTGTCCAAGCTTTCGCGGTGCGGTTCGGGGGGCCGATACTTCGGCCCTTGGAATTAGCCCGGCGATCGCCTCCCTGATTAACGGGACCTGTGTGACACCAGCTTCACTGTTTCATCGGTGTCTGCAAAACAGAGCCTATTGAAGTTTTTTCAGTGCGATTTCCGGTATACGTTGATGCTCGTAGCAAGTTTGAATATGAGAATTATTTTTTTTCCACAGATCCAAATGTGAAGGATAAAATGGGCTTCACACCCCTGCACTACGTCGCCAAGTTTGTGAGACCAGAAAAAAGGAGGGTAAGTTCGTTCTGAACAATGATTGTTCGCACCTTGCTCCATAACTCCCTTTCACTCGCATCTATCTATCTATCTATCTATCTATCTATCTATCTATCTCGTCCTTCTTCGAGACGGAGGAAGGCAGTGGTTTGCTGGGAGCCGACACGCAGAGATCAAAGTTTGATTTCTCTCTCTCTCATATTTACACCAACCGCAGCATTTGGGCCCAATTTAAGATTATGCTTGATGGGATACCCAATCACTAAATATGTCACTACAATTTAACATCACGTTGGTAACATAACTATTTTACTCCCCCTATAAAGCCTTTTAGGCATTGTTAGCAACAAGACCAGTCCATCATTTCATTCATCAGTGCCCTTCCGCGTTTCCTAACACTCGAAAGCACAAACATTTTCGCTGAACAGCGACAGATTTTTAGAAATAGATTTATCGATTAAAAATGTATGAACACCGCGGATTTCGCAGTTGCTCTTCGTAAGTTACCAATTATTCCAGCTCCCCGCCCGGGACGCGGGCTTAAGAAACATTCCCGTTACAATTTTCTGCCATTTCTTACTTTGGTGTTTCCATAACTTTATTGTTTATCTCCGTTTCACTTGTTTTTTCTACGTGCAGAGCATAATCCTTGCGTGCGAGGATTCGGCTTCGCTGATGATCCAGACGCTCATGACGGCGGTAGGCACGGGAGCCAATGCCATCGACGCTTGGGGCATGACGCCATTGCACCATGCGTCCTTATCTGGCAACAGTCACGTGGTGCGCTGTCTGCTGCCCTACGCCAGCGTGGACAAAGAGGTGAGCCTTCCTTTCGTAGAGGTCATCCCTATATCCCGCATACGCTGGGTGCATTAACCGCATGCGCATAGGCGGGCACGGCGTCCCCCATTAAAGGGAGAGGAGGACGTAAAGTTTTACCTCAGCGCCCTCTCCTCCCTCTCCCGATACACCCGGTCGAGTCCGAAAAAAAAAAGTTCCGCAATGGGTTGTAAGTTGAAACTGAAGCAATAGCGTGCTTCTCACAAAGGCCTGCCTTCGGTCACTCGCTTCTTGTGCGCAAAGGTAGAATACAAACAGTTAATTGAAATCAACAGCCAAAAAACTGCATGGCCTTGACCCGGCACTTGAAATTATGACGGCGCCCCGCCGCGGTGGTCTAGTGGCTAAGGTACTCGGCAGCTGACCCGCAGGTCACGGGATCGAATCCCGGCTGTGGTGGCTACATTTTCGACCGAGGTGAAAATGCTGTATGCTCCCGTGTCCTCAGATTTGGAGGCATGTTAAAGAGACCCAGGTGGTCGAAATTTCTGGAGCACTCCGCTACGGCGTCTCTCATAAACATTCAGTGGTTTTGGAACGTTAAACCCCACATATCAATCCAATCAATCAATCAATCAAACAATCAATAAATCAATCAAAATTATGACGGAACATGTTCGACTAAGAAATGGTATGAGGCAGACATCCCCTACCCCCACCAAGTAGATTATTAAACAGGAGGAGGCCGCACCTATGCACATGAACATGTGTGCCCCCTTTTCCTATATTCTTTCTGTCTATATCAATCTAAGCAAACGGGCCTCTAGCACCTTCACAGATAACTCCAAAAATGCATCGCGAATTGCCATTACGTAATGAAAGCGCATCGGTCGGAATTTATTGTACCAGATTATCATGTTAGGTCACGAGTCGCACTTGATTGTGGCATATTTTAAAACCTAGTGTTTAACATATTTCTACAGCCGTTCGATTGTAGCGTGTTTTCTAAAACTGCTGCTCGTAGCTATGCACTTGTGGGAAGACATGTATTGTTTTAGGCGATATTTCCTGCGGAATACGTGTAAAAACTTGTGTACTCGATTCGCATTTGCCATTTGTGGTCACTGATGACAAAGAAGTAACAGACGTAGAGCTTTGAGTGCATTTGACCTCTTTCAAGTTCAATGCGAATTCGTTTCACTAGCAGTATTATGGGTATATGCTAAAGATCTGTCACTTTGACAGAGGCTCTGTGCGGTTTGATTGCATGTTCGGTATGTCACTAACCACGAAAATGATAAAAAATCTCAGTTTTATTTTTCGTTAAGAATCCACTAATATTTGATGTACTTCGAGTCAGTAAAACAATTATTCTTATGACAAAGCACCACATGACCGACAACTCAAACGATACATTTTTAATTACTCCTCCATCATCGTGGCTGAAGAGCATGAGAGTGGCATCCTATGGCGTTAAGTTTTTTTCCACAAAATGTCTGGGGCCTGTCAATAATTATTTGTTGGAATTCAACGTCGCAAAGCCACTATATAATTGTGAGGAACGACATAGCGGAGGCTTCAGAACATTTCATCCACCTGGTGTTTTTGACCGTGTAACTTTGTACACTGGTCTCAAACACCTTTCACCTCCATCAAAAATGCAGCCGCCGCGACCTAACGTGCACCAATAAACTGTCATGCGTCCGACGCATTCAAGAGCTGTCAGTCGTAAGAAATTCGCACTGGAGTGTTTGTGATGCGACAAGGAGTATATACGCACCTTACGTGTCGGTCTGTATACGCGCAGGTGACAGACAAACAGGGTCGCACTGCGCTGCACAACGCGGCCACCCTGGGCGATGCCGAGGTGGTTCGACTCCTGCTGAGTCACGGCGCCAACATCCACGCCGTGGACAAGAAGGGCCTTACGCCGCTTCACATCGCCGCCAAGGAGGGGGGCCTGCAGGCCGTGTGCCTGCTGTGCCAGGAAATACAAAAAGAGGCGAGCACCTTTCGCCGGCAATACGATATGTGTAGACTAAAAACACGTTTTAATCTTACCCCAATTGACGCAGTGCCTGCGCACTGGCCCAGAACTGCACCTTCAGTCATTCGTGATACTGTAGCTTCGTGAAAAGCTCGGGAGATTCACAAGGACAATTGGAATCATCGAGGGCTGACGCTGTGCTGTTCCCGCGTTACTCACGTATAGAATATGGAATATCAACTATAGCCAGGTCACATGCGCACCTTGATTAGGTGAATGTGGCTCGTACAGCGACCAACTAAATCAGAAACGCCAGGCATTTAAAGGATTAAACATCGTTTTCGTAGTGCAACATCTCCAGCAGATTCTACAAGAACTATACGCGCATGAAGCCAAGAAAACATTCGTGTTGTTTACTTCACTGTCAACCGCTTGTGAGGGTGAAACTGAAGGTTGTGAGGTTGACACTGATTCCACGTTTTGGAATGACTCTAAAATCAATTTCGTCGTGTAATACATGACTCAAAGCGTCCCTCCTGTAATTCGGTGCTTTCATTTTTCTATATATTGCTGCACTTAACGTGTTAGTTGCAGATATATCAAACTATCCTGCACATGACAGCAATAAGTTATTTTGTTAGGTAGGTGATTTCAAGTATATCTTCGCGCCAGAGTAATTCAGTGAAACTACGAAAAAAACGGGGACAGAGAATGTCAAAATGCGTTAGGTTGCATACTTGCACCTATTGTCGATCGGCAAAGAAGAGGCACGTTTGTATACCTGAAAAGGCTTGTCGTATATAGTTGAACATCGACAATCGCAAAGAACACGCACTTATGCGGTGTTTCGCTACTGCAGGACATTCCCGTGGCTGTTCTCTCCAGGAGGGACAAGCAGAACAAGACGCCTCTGCATTACGCTGTCGAGAACAACCACGTCGAGATCGCGCGCTTCCTCTTGGAAAAAGGTTCGCACACTCATCTCGAACCACGCGACACGGTCTCAACGAACACGTGAACGAACTATGTATTAGAACAGACAGAATGACCAGGTCTCATCGATGTGTCGTACCATTCCCATTCCTCAACTTCGCCAAACCGTTTCACTCAGCACAATAACGGATTAGAAGAATAATGATTGTCGTGGAATTTCGCTCGCTGCTACCGTCAAAATCCAACTAGAATAATAAAAGAAAAAAAAACACTCGTATATGTACTCATATCTGCGTGCGTTGCAGGATAACCTTAGGTTAACTTCAGGTTAACGCTCACGCACTCTAAATTACTCCGACGCCCTGCTACTCCAACGCTGCGTTGAAATGGCCGACATTGGCACTGAATAATAACAGATGAAAGAAAATTTTACAAATTAAAAGTTCCGGCAAACAGAGCAACAACGCAAGCCTTCCTCTGCAGCCCCGCCGCGGTGGTCTAGTGGCTATGGTACTAGGCTGCTGACCCGCAGGTCGCGAGATCGAATCCCGGCTGCGGTGGCTGCATTTTCGATGGAGGCGAAAATGCTGTATTCCCGTGTGCTCAGATTTGGGCGCACGTTAAAGAACCCCAGGTGGTCAAAATTTCCGGAGTCCTCCACTACGGCGTCTCTCATAGTCATAAGGTGGTTTTGGGACGTCAAACCCCACATATCAATCAACCGTCAGGCCTTCCTCTGCAATCACGAGAACCCACGTCAGCGTATAATCTCATCAACGATAATAGAGATTATAAAAACGATTCACGCATATACTTCAGAAAAACGATAGTCAGTTTCTTAATGTCAACATATGAGGCATGCATTAACAATATCCTAAGCATATTGCTGAGTGATATATATATACATGGGAAGAAAAGAGAGACAACTTATATTTGAAGCATAACTCAACGTAACTCGCCCGAACCTTTTTTCGAACCCACCTGCCTGGCGTGCGCAGGCGTCGACCCGAACTGCTCGTCATCGACCGGCCTGACAGCTCTGCACCTTGCGGCTATGCGAGGCGGCGTTCCCATGTGCCAGCTGCTCATGGACCACGGTGCCGCCACCGACGTGCTGGCCGACGGAAACAAGACGCCCCTGTTTTTGGCGGCGACCAACGACCGACCCCGCATCGTCGCCTTCCTGCTGGACAAGTGCGTCACTGGTCAGACTGCAGCAATTAAGTTTCAGCGTACACCGGAGGCATTCTTTTCCTTGGCCTCTTTTAGCCGCTTTCTGAAATTTGTCATCACTGAACTAATTGATAAACGTAACACACCTGCCGGAACGGCAACCCCATCGTTTTTAAACCCGCGGTAAGTCCTGGATGCCGGCAAGTCGTAGATTTTTTGCGTATTAGTTAAGAACAAATTCATAATTACGAAAACATCTCTCTTATTGCGACATCACGCTTCGTAGGCGTAAGAAGGCACGAAAAGACACTGCCGCACCAAACACCGTGGCGTCATAAATTTTGATGGGTCACACGCAACTTCTAATCGACAAAATTAAAGTAAACTGTCATCTGTCGGTGCCATAGGCCTAGCATACGAAGTTTCAGAAAATTTCATCGAGCAAATGTCACGGAAATATAAAAAAATAGATTTCAAATTTTGTTACGTCACGCGCAAAGATTCTGGCACAAAACTTAAGTTCATTTTCGATTATCTCAGCGAATAATGAACTCATGAAACTTATGGCATTGGAGTTATCAGAGTGAAATTTATCAATCTAAAAGAAGTCACTGTTTTCGTTTTTTCTAGTGTTCCTTTAACGTCGTGGATTCACTTCAACAGGTCGCACATCAAAACCTTCTGGTTATGCGTAGTTAACACTGCCATGCGTGTGAGCGTATTGGTTGTCCTCTCCTTCCTACTTCCTTTCTCTGTTCATTTCCTCCCCTTTTCCCCCTTATGCCGTGTAGGGTAGAAAACAGTGCAATCTGGTTAAGCTCCCTGCTTTTCCTTTCCCCCTCTCTCTCTCTGAAACGGGGAACGATGTCCCGGTTTCTGACGAAAGACATGGGCGCATTCAAAATGCAGAGAAATACAACAGATTGAATACCGTCACCTCTCACATACTACCAGCACCGTTATAGCACCAGCTCGCGTTGTATAATCATGACTAATATTCATTAACTGGTGGTTATTCGCTGCCATAAGTTCATGCATTGATTTACACCAATGCTCAACGTGCCAAACCGTGTGGTTATCAGGCATCCCGTAGCGTGAGAATCTGGAATAATTTAGACCGCCTGCCTTTTTTAAACGCGTTATTAAGTTGTAGTGTGAATATTTCAGCGAATGAAAGTGGTAGAATATTGGCAAGAAAAAAAGTAAAAACACGGGACAACGCTAGAGTCACCCATAATGACAATAGAAAAAGTGCTAAGTACACGAAGTTTTACAGTCATATCACAACGCTCCACGGTTCATTGATTTGTGGGGTTTAACGTCCCAAAACCACTATATGATTATGAGAGACGCCGTAGTGGAGGGCTCCGGAAATTTTGACCACCTGGGGTTCTTTAACGTGCACCCAAATCTGAGCACACGGGCCTCGACATTTCCGCCTCCATCGGAAATGCAGCCGCCGCAGCCGGGATTTGAACCCACGACCTGCGGGTCAGCAGCCAAGTACCTTAGCCACTAGACCACCGCGGCGGGGCGTCAACGCTCCACGGGCTTTTATGTTTAAAAGCGGGGAAATTCCGGTGGCTCATCTTGGTGAGGTGCTCAGCCTTGCCACTTTTTCTGTATAACACGACTTGAAGAACTCTCGCTGCTCTATTGAACCTCGTTAATCATCAATTGTTTCCTCAGTAACACTATAGCGCTTATTGTCACTGTGTGATCGTACTTAAGTTCCATACTATTAGTGTCATTTTGTGTTGATTATAGCACATATTTTAATAAATACCATGAAGGAAAAAAAAGGAATGCGTGGTTGCATGGCAGAACACTCGCTAGACACATGTACGACCCGGGCTCCATCCTCACTCGCACCCGCAATTTTTTATTATTTATTTTATTTGCAGCCTTCCTGGTTTTCGGTCACGCACAAGATAATTTTTCGCTCATAATCAAGGACGCCTACGTTAGAATTTCCGCCAAACAAGCTCCTTAACGCTGTCGCATCAATATATAGCTGGATACAAATCCACAAAACTTGCCTTTCGTAAGTGCCTTTTCCCGTTGACTAGCCGGCTTTACTACGGACAAGCCCCGCATGGTTATTGGCTGAAATATTCTCTTACGAAAATGTTCGGCGTAGACGCTTTACTTGTGAATACGGGCCTTGGTGTTCTGGACAACGCAGCTTCCCTTATGAGCGTGCTCTGCGGATACACCAAAACTTAGTGTCAATTTAAGAAAACGTGGGTAGGCCTGTCACGTGCAGCACTTGTAGACTCGTGTGGTGATCCACACGAAATGTGGTTTCGTGCGCAGTGGCGTATAGCCAGGGACATTGGGTCCATATCCACCTCCTCATTTTTTTTTTTTTTTGGCATGTGAAGCCCGAAATGACAGTATAGATCTACCTGACCGTCGACCCACTTCACATCAATGTCCCCCTCCCCCCCTAACACCAAAAAAAAATTCTGCCTACATCCCAGGCCATGTGTGCGAACTGTTCAGCCATAGTGCAGTGTCTCTCGCAGAGGCGCTGGCATTGAAGACCGGGACGTGGAAGGCAACAGCCCTCTGCTGGGAGCCGTGGACAGCGGCAGCGTGGAGGTGGTCAAGTTGCTGCTGGGCCGCGGCGCCGACATCGAGTCACGGAACAACGACGACCGCAATGTACTGCACATGGCTGTGCTCTCCAAGAACGAGGATGTACTTCAGGTTAGGTTGGCCGAAAAAAAAAAACATTCCCGATCACAAGCTTAAAACTATCGTGAGTGCCGCTTAGTGCTGCCACATGCTGCCGAAGCAACCAATAATCACAAAACTTCCCTCCCTCAAAAAAGAGCGAATATTCAACAATTTTTTGATCGTTAAAAATGTTCTTAATTACATTGCAAATGTCACCCAAATACGAAGGAAAGTTCAAAACACCACTTTAGTTAATTCTTGCAAGGAAAACGTACTGAACTATAGGCACCCTTCAGTCTACTTTTCCAGTCTGACTTCAGCGCCAGAATACGTAGCGTAGCGAATAAAAAAAGTAACCTTGAGACATCTTCGGGGAAAATGGAACGCAACGTGCGCGTCTCGCACCCTCTATCTGGCGGCGGATTGTGGCCGGCATACATGGGGGACGCGCACACGCGTCTCTTTTCTGCGTGCCCGTAACGGAGAATGTCAAAGACTTTGAGACGCAGCAGTGTGAGCAATGCATCTTCCTCTGGTCAGTGCGCGGTGCTTATAAATGAGTGTAGATATTTACTTTTTAGACGGTTTCAAGATTGCAAGCATTGTACCCCCCGCCCCACCCCCCACCAAAAAAAAAAACTTTCAGTCACCTCATTTACCAGTTCCTAAAATCAAAACTGAAAGCACGTTTTCAAGTTTTTTTTTTTTTCAGGGGTGATGAAAGTGTCTCTTTAGCTTTTCAGCTAAAAGAAATGTGCATAAAGTTCAAGTAAACTTCTCACTATTTTAATGGAGCTCCAAACAACATTTGTTTGAAAATATTTTGCCATATAAGGGAAGAAAATTTGAAAATGAGCGGGCTATTTTCTGAAGCTCTTCTTGCTCACCGATGCTATTAGGGCACATCGATGGACGAAACCGGATGTCATCGAAGGCCTCTGTTTGAAAAACAGTGACAGGTTTATGCACGTTCTTTACTGCGTTATTAACGTCACTTATTGATTTTCTAAACCTATGTTCGACTTAATAACAATAATAATCATATCAGGCGTTGAACGCTTTAAAATCACAGCATGGTCAAAAGGGACGCCGTGGCTCCAGATATTTTGACCATCCTTTGTTCTTTAACGTGTCCTACGAGCCCTGGCATTGCGTGCACTGTACACAGGCCTCCAGCATTTTTCCTCCTTCGAAATGCGACCACCACGGCTCATCAACAAACGCGCTATGTGTCAATGTGGTGATCGCTAAAAATCACCACCCAACCACTCCGTACAACTGATTAACCAGTGAAACCTGAAACATACGGCCCACAGATGCGAAACTGACCGACGTCTGGAGCAGCCGGGAGCCACCGCGTCAGTGTACCTCCATGACACTGATTCATTGTTGTAGAGACCGAATTTCGTCGATCGTTGCCAGGTTGTTCTCAAACCAGAGACGGTCACAGACGTGACAGCCGAAGCCAACGTGCCACTAGAGAAACTCCCGCCGAACGCACTCCCGCAACCATACCGTCGATTCTGATGTGCCCGCAATTCCGCTTGTTCGGCGCGCCGTTGTTAAGCGCTTGACATCGTGAGCCAACTCGGCGGCGTGCTTTGCAGGATCTGCCCACCACCGGTGCTTGCACTCCCGTGCACTATTTAGCGTGGCTTTGAAGGCCGTTGGATCATCGATACGCAGTTGCTGCCGGCCCTCGTCCTTCCGGGCCTGTTTTTTGATCCCAGAATGCGCCATCGGTTCGACGAATGCGAGCTCTCTCACGTTTCCCCTGTCGGCGCTTTTCTAGAGTTCTCCGCTGTTGGGAAGTTCGTAGAATCCTTCGGTTACCCACGTGGAAGCTCTCTGTAGAAACTGATTCGCGCGTGCTCGGCACCGCTCCCAGTTTGGCCAATGGCGCGCGTGCTTGCTATACGACGCTGAGAATGACGTAACTGACACATAGCCAACACGGACCGCTCATGCATGGCATTGTTGCCAAATGTTTTTTTTTTGTTTCTCCGAGCCATAGACAGCTTTCGCTGTAATAAGTATAATTGCAGTAAAAATGTAGATAAGCCTTAAAACGCGGCAAGCTACTGGAAACTTTTACAGGTGACGCGGCGTAAAACAAGCCCAAATCCGTTTATTATGAGCGTAACCTGGCAACCCTGGCTTTGCTCACGTCTGTAGCTGTTCTATCTATAAAAAGAATGCTTAGAAAATGTAGCTGACAATTTTGAGTACTCGGTACTCTACTATCGGAGAGCATAAAGCCGTCCCTAGGGCTTCGCAGACGGTGACGTCCTGTCGGCAAACATTACGGCAGACAACAAAATCACAGCATCTGTCTGTCTGTCTGTCTGTCTGTCTGTCTGTCTGTCTGTCTGTCTGTCTGTCTGTCTGTCTGTCTGTCTGTCTGTCTGTCTGTCTGTCTGTCTGTCTGTCTGTCTGTCTGTCTGTCTGTCTGTCTGTCTGTCTGTCTGTCTGTCTGTCTGTCCTGGCGTCCGTCCTTCCTATTTCACACACTTCTATTGAACCAACGCCATCTAAGGAATAAGACGAGAAGTGGCGATAAGAGAGCGCCATCTAATACACTGCTCGGGAGATACGCCTGACGCAGGACAAGGTTAGACTAACCCCCGAATGCAGAGATGTTACTTGGCTCGCGATTTCAACTTAACTTGAGCAAGTAGGCGTGAAGCAAGCAGCAGACTTCAAAACACCCAAGTCAGCCTTCGCGTTTCATAGACGCTCAGGCTGTCTTGCTTGGTCAAGTCAAGAACGAGCTTCAAAGCTCTGTAACACCCGTATTCAGAAACGCTACTTGACTTGACACCGCCTACGATGCAGCACGTTCGAAACGCGTTTGTGCTGCATTGAAGTCGGTGGTAAGTCAAGATCAATTCAAGCAGCATTTATGAATACGGGAGTAAGAGGTGCGGGGGGGGGGGGGGGGGTAGAAAAAGGTGGTAACGATTTAGAGCACAGGGTACTCTACTATGGAAGAGCTTAAAGCCGCCCCGAGAATATCACAACCAATCAACCAACGGGTTAAAAGGTGCTTGGTTTAGAAAAAGTTTATTTACAGCATGTACAGAACACAAAGGCTTCATACCATTCCAGCAACAGGGCACATACACTTCTGCACATCTATATTTCACGACTAACATCACTACGTCACAGTGAAGACATTTGCTCTAATATACATGATTATGTTGGCATACATGTACACAAAAATTCAATGTGATATCACGATACATGGGTATAACGATACAATAGATCCAAATAAAACACAATTTGTAACAAATGAAATCATATATAACAACTCAACGGGCGCTGCTTAGCACCAAGTCGGTCGAAAAATGAGTTGTATTCTTTCGTGTTCCACCTTGACGAAAGGGCACGACCAATGCCGCAGAAACTCTTGCTCCCCGAGGAAGAAAAGCTCTTCGGAGAGGAACGCGAGGATCTCTCGTCTCATTCTCCCCAGTATCGGCCACAAAGCACGCCGGCGGCAATTGGCAGCTACGGCCTCACATCGGTTTCTCCAAAGGCTGAAAAGCCCCGCAACTATTAAGAGAGCGGAGAAGCGGCTACGCGGAAATCGGCCGTTGGACACGAAAGTTCGCACACCCTGTCCCCGAAAACCAGCATTAACCGCACGCCAAAAAAGGCGGGAAACCACACATTCAAACGTCGCATGTCGATTGGTCTCTACCATGACGCAGTTGGGGCAAGTGGAAGTGCGAACCACCTGCCATCGCTGCAACCGATCTCGCGTGGGGAGCAAGCCCCAGCCCAGCCTCCAGACAAAGTCTCTGAGATGCCCTGGCAACACTGCGGCAGTTATTGGTTTCCAAGCGCGGTTCAATACAGATTGACGATGCTGGGGCACCAGGGGCCGTAGAAGGGCGGCCATTGTGTCCACCACTTTAGAATCGGCCACCTCTATCTCTGGGCACGTAGCCTCCAAACGTCGGTGAAATGCCAGAAGGGCTCGATACAAAGGTGGTAATTCAGTTGATTGGGGACCTTTGTTTGTTTGGCTATCCGGCAAGAAGACACGTAGTGATGGCCCCAGGTGGTAGCGAGCCAGTGTCTGAGCGGGTATGTCATCATTGCTTAGTATTCGCAATAGAGTGCGGAGGCACAATGTATAAGCCGCGACGGAAACGTCGGGGAATGCAAAACCGCCTTGATCTCGCGGTTGAGCTAACGCTGGACGCGATAACGATTCTGTGCCACCAGACCAAAAAAATGAACTGATGCAGCTTTGCACTTTCCTGCAGACGTGAAGCGGTGGTTTAACAGAATGGCAAAGGTACCAAAATTTTCCTAGGTACACCGTTTGAGTTAAGTATCGGCGTTCCAAGAGGGGGAATTCGAAGTGCCTGGCTGCTTTGATATCATTTAGAAGAGTTTGTACAACGGATGACCAGATGCTATCCTGTATACCAAATACAGTGAAAGTAACTCCGAGTATTGAAATCTCTGGAGACCACTGTAAAGGCGACGTGATGTTGATGCGACCGCTGGGGTTGCCAATGAAAAAATACTGGCTTTTAGAGAAGTTTAACCTTGCACCGGAGATAATACCGAAATCATGGAATGTATCAAGAGCATGCTGCAGCGACTGTTCATTATGTACATATAGAGTGATATCATCTGCATATGCAGCGACTTTTACTTGAGTGTTACCGAGTAGAGGTAAGCCACGAATCTGCGGGTGATGTTCAACGGCCCTTAAGAAGGACTCTAACGCAAGGATAAATAACACTGGGGAGAGGGGACACCCTTGACGGACCCCACGCGTGACTCTAAATGCGTGACTCTCACGGGAATCTAAATAAAGGGTACTTTCTAAATTAGTGTACATCGCGTTGATAAGGTCAATGAACTTATCCGGGAATCCGTATGCATGTAAAACATTTAGTATGTAGCCATGTTCTATGAAATCAAAAGCTTTCTCTTGATCTAATGAAACCAACAGTCCTTGCGCACATCGGCTAATGGTGTATTGAATGATGTCACGCGTTAACCACGTATGGGCGTGTATTTCTCGGCCCGGAACAGAACAGACCTGGTGGGGAGCGATTAATGTTGCAAGAAATGGACTGATTCGGCACACCAAAATGTTAGCCAAGAGCTTGTAATCTACATTGAGCAGGGTAATAGGGCGCCAATCTTCTGGTCGCGTAGACATTGGGTCTTTCTTGGGAACTAGTGTTATACGGCCTTTGTGGAAAGAAGTTGGAAGTGTAATATCTTGGAAACACTTGCGAATGACGCGTGACATAGTTGGACCAATGATAGGCCAGAACTGTACATAAAACTCTGCAGGTAGTCCGTCAGGCCCTGGGGCCGATCCCTTTTTCATTGCATCTAATGCACCTTTGATTTCGTCATCGGATGGCGGTGATAGGAGGACGTCATTTGACATGTTGGAATCATGAGGTAAATCTGTTAGCAGAGGATGCGAAGAAACGGATCCTGGGTAACAGACATTAGCACCAGATTTAGCTATTGACTCAAAGTGTTGAGTGAATTCCTGAAAGTCGCGCGTACCCGCAGCAGCTGGGGTGATAGAGTTCAGCGAGTGGGCAGGCGAGCCTGGTGGACGAAGCAGAGCTCTGCGTGCATACCTTAGCACCTCAGGGTGCGCACAGGGTGCACGTCTACAGCGCCAAGCTGCAGCCGAGAGTGAAGAAGCGCGCATAATACGCTGGTACCGTTCAACGAGCTCCTCTTGCCATGCCCGCATTACAGTGGAAGGACTGGGATCTCGATTGGCAATGCGTATCTTCTGGATTAACAATGACGCATCTTTCGACATACGGGTGCAAAGTCCTCTGCCCGACGCACTGCAATGATGCCGCCACTGTTCTTTGAGGCGATCCCAATCAGCTACATCGGCCCCAATAAGCGATGCGCGTAACGCTCGGGATAATTTCTCCGTAGCCTGAGAGTCCTGGAGGACGCGGCAATCGAGACGCCATGGTCTGTGAACCATCGGCGTCCCCGCTGGCAGGCGGAGAGAGAACATGACCGGCCGATGGTCGCTAATGTACACCGGTGTCGGTGGCAATGACATTACCCCGGTGTCGTGAACGTAGGTAATGAGATTGGGGGATGCATACACGCGATCAATTCGGCTGCTCGACGCCAAGTATAGGCATAATTACTGCCATGCACAATTTGATGAATGTCACTCAATGCCAATTGCTGCACTAGACGTTCGAGTTCTCTGGCATTCCAGTTTGACCGGCCGCGACCCGGACCTCGAACGTCTGCGCGTGAGTCTAAGACACAATTGAAATCCCCTAAAAGTACCACATGTCGGGAATTTAAAAGAAACGCATCAAGAGATTGGAAGAACGCGTTTGAGTTCTCGCGTGCCGCTGGGGCATACACAGCAACAAATCTTATTCTTAACGAAAAAAAGGTGCAGTCGAACGCCAGCACGCGTCCGAAGGCATCGAAGGAAACATGATGGTCACGTAAAAGACCTCGGTTAAAAATAACGACTCCGACGCCAGTCGAATGCGTGCTGGCGTACGAAAAGAAACAATCAAAATTGAACGCGCGCTTGAAAGCGAGTACATCAGAAAGCTTGACAAAATTTGTTTCTTGCAGGAACAGCAAATCACAGTGCACTGAACGTGCAAAAGCCAATACCTCAGCCTGTTTTTGTGGATTTCGGAAACCTTGAACGTTAAAAGTAATAATTTTTAGAGTAAGAGCCATAGGGAAAATGAAAACATAGTATAGAATCACGCAAATGCAGGGGTACCTTTATCAGGTGCGGGAGCCAATGCCCCGCAAGTGGCTGAGTCATTTTTTCCGGCCAGGCGATCCACCGGAAGCTCGGGGCCTCCGGGATCGCGTCGAAGCCCGCAGGGGACTTCTGTCTCTGGTGGGGGCTTCCAAGTCACGAGTAGTTATCCGGTGGCGTTTCGTGTCCGGGTTTTTGAGCGAGGATGGTACAAAGACGTCTCCACTGTCCTGGCTTAAGTCACTGGGGCTGGTGTCTTCGTCAATTTGTAGGGGCGCCTCACTCGCGGTGCTGTTGGAGTCCTCGTTAATGCAGGCGTCGTCGTCTTGAGATGTAGACTCCTCGATGACACCTGAACTTGTTGTCAACAGAGCAGCAACGCGAGGAGCCTCAGATGCAATATTCCCATCCGAGACGCCGTCCTCACGAGGCGCTTCGTCAGACGAGGGCTTGGCCTGCGATTCCTCAGAAATGGCCACGGGACGCGGGGAACTTAAGTTTTCAGTACCTGGAGGGAGTACCAGGCCCGGAATCGTTGGGGACGCAGTGGGCGTCTGGTGCAGCGTTGCGATTGGCACGGCGACACGGCAGCGAGCAGCCTTTCCCGTCGTGGCCATAAACGCCGCACCTTCCACAAAACGGAGCTGTGCAGTTCATGCGGAAGTACCCACTGTCTCCACATCGACGGCACAATCGCTGGATGCCTTTATAGTCACAGGTTACTCGATGGCCCGCGACCTTGAGGTAGTTGGGCACCGGTGACGAAGCCTTCATTTCCATGCGGACGTATCGCGTCCCAGTGGTCACGGTTGGGCGCGATCCCATGAGTCCTCTGGTGATGTGCAGCACCTTCCCGTAGGGAGAGAGTGCTTGTGCGAGGACTTCGCTGGGTACGCGGCACGGCAGGAACAGGACGGTCACTTGGGTCACTTGGGGTCCCAGGGGTACGATGGCGACGCGCTCTCCTCGGATGGTGAGGTGCGACGCGTCTACGATTTGGGCCAGTGCGGCCTCACTGTTGACGGTAACTTGGTAGTTCCGGCCTCCAAAGTGCTGAACGCAGTATACTTCTTCGATTCCTACTATTGAAGACGTCGCGTCAACGACGTCTTCGGGACTAGTCCCCTCGGGGACGACTACATCGAAGGCTAACGCCTTCTTCGGGGGCTGGCTAACCCCCGAATGCAGAGATGTTACTTGGCTCGCGACTTCAACTTAACTTGAGCAAGTCGGCGTGAAGCAAGCAGCAGACTTCAAAACACCCAAGTCAGCCTTCGCGTTTCATAGACGCTCAGGCTGTCTTGCTTGGTCAAGTCAAGAACGAGCTTCAAAGCTCTGTAACACCCGTATTCAGAAACGCTACTTGACTTGACACCGCCTACGATGCAGCACGTTCGAAACGCGTTTGTGCTGCATTGAAGTCGGTGGTAAGTCAAGATCAATTCAAGCAGCATTTATGAATACGGGAGTAAGAGGTGCGGGGGGGGGGGGGTAGAAAAAGGTGGTAACGATTTAGAGCACAGGGTACTCTACTATGGAAGAGCTTAAAGCCGCCCCGAGAATATCACAACCAATCAACCAAGGGGTTAAAAGGTGCTTGTGTTTAGAGCCAATAGCTTATTTGACATCGAGCGAGTGTCGCGCACTTCAAGTGACTTTCACATACAGGTGCAGGTTCACGTCGCTAGCTTTCTGTCAAAAGCTCGAACTTCCCAACTAATGTCAGCAAAGATCACGATTTCACAGCTCAGCTAAACATGTCAAGTTCGCAGTAAAGGAGGAGCTTTTAATTCATAATACGAAAAGTGCTGAAATTAGCTGAGAAAAAGTACTTTTAATTAGAACAAGAACCACTAAGTAGGACTGTCTTGAACAATAGTAAATAACACCGTGGCCGCAACCGTCGCGGCTGAGCTTCATTTTTCATTTTCAGGTTGTGAGGAAGCTGGTTTTATCGCCTCGTGATCGTCTCTGTGACTACTTTCTTATGCAATGTGTTATCTGGCACCCTTTGCTACTGTAATCGGTCAATCAGTCGGTTGGTCAATCAATCAACAAGTCCTTCTTTTCACGCTCATTCATATACGAGAACCAAAGCTTGGAAAAAAGAAACAGCTGCGTGTTCGCGACATGGCGGCGTTCCTGCCCCATTTAAAAGAAGCCAAATAACCCAACAATACATATTGACCAGTAGGCGCGTCGCAGTATTGGAAAAAAATGATTGCAGCGATGATATAAAAGCTTCACATTAGTTCTGCGCTCATAACCTAAACGTGCCAATAATATGTCAGTATTCTGCACCTCATGCGGGGTCTCTCACTGCACGTTTGCTTGCAGTGGCGTCAATTGAGAAGTAAATCGTAAGTTGACCCGGACATGTGCTCTTACAAAGAAGCCACACTCCCTTCTTTTTCTTCACTTTCGTTCTCCGATGTGTACCGAAAGAAATCGTACCCTTTCTAGCGGTCAGTGCCCGAGAAATCGCTTCCTGAAGCTAATGCCCAATAGGATACGCATAATTTTAACTGACGTGATTTGTCAGAAATGTCAGATTGATTGATCAATATGTGGGGTTTAACGTCCCAAAACCACTATATGATTATGAGAGACGCCGTAGTGGAGGGCTCCGGAAATTTAGACCACCTGGGGTTCTTTAACGTGCACCCAAATATGAGCACACGGGCCTACAACATTTCCGCCTCCACCGGAAATGCAGCCGCCGCCGCCGGGATTTGAACCCGCGCCCTGCGGGTCAGCAGCCGAGTACCTTAGCCACTAGACTACCGCGGCGGGGCCAGAAATGTCAGAGCCTAGGACTTCTGAGCCATCGCTTCGAAATGTGTCACGTGAGTTCGAGCTGAGCTCGTGATTTAATGTACTTATTTGTGGGTTTAGAAAAATAGTTTAATGATCTCGAGTACTTCGTACTTAACTATGGTAGAGAAGTGAGCCATCCCCGGATACAAACTGAAAAAAGATCGCTGAGGAAGCGACAGCGGAGAACGCAACAAATTATTGCGAACAAATCTACGAAAACATGCTTCGGAATAACGGAGGTGTTTAGGTTGTTCTTCAAGTGCATACTGAGTTCGCATGATAGGGATTGCTTTCTTTTCATCATTTTGCAGCTACTCCTTGCAGTCAAAGGGTCAGAACACCTGATTAACAGGAAAGACTGCGATGGGGACACTCCTCTTCATCATGCAGCACGCAATGCTTTTCTCGACATTGTTCAGGTGGGTAATTAAACGTCCTGAATATGCAAACTAAAGAGAAAAAACAACGGCAAAGGGTCATGAAGAATGACAAACAGTGTTTTAATCTCTTACGCATGCAAACAAAAATTCAAGACCCTGAAGGATTCACCACGTCATCACTGTCACTGATGTCCGTTTTGCGATTACGGACAATGACTTGTCTTTATGCTTTCACCCATTGCAGTGCTTTATAATTGATGAAAATGTGTATTTTAATTTGTCGTGGGTCACTTATTTTTTTCAGTTTCTGTTATTACCAGCAGTCTCTTACTGAGGCCCTGACACATGTACAATCAGTCAACCTGCAGTGACTTGCACGTTTGCCCGAACCACTTCAGCTGAGTGCTTACCTCCAGTTTAAAATTGCAGGTACTTCTAAAGCATGGGGCCAGAGCTTCGGCGAAAAATTCGAGCGAAGAAACGACTCTGCACGCCGCGTGCCACTACAACTTCCCAAAGTGAGCATTACTTGGTTTTACCGGTCGAGGCAAATAGTAATAGTTGCAGAACTTTATTGGGGTAGGGGGGGGGGTGAATTTGTTTTATAGGAGCGGCATACCAAAATATAGGCTCAAATAGTCATTGTAATGAGTCTGTTATATATGCCAACTGCACAACGGAAAGCTCTATAAATATCAGTTAGACTGTATGTCTACAAAGCGCCTGTGTATCAACTACTCACGCCTTATGCCAGCTAACTGTCGGAGCAGCACACAAAAGCGGCAGCCTGAGTCCGTGTGTGGTGTGCAATGGACTGTTTCCCCCAAAAAAAATGGGGGGGGGGAGGAACATTCCACGCGAAATTCGAGATATTACCGAGTTCATGTGTTCTTACAGGTGTATAGGAACCTACCGCGTTCAAACTAACGAATTACATTATAGCGCCTCGTAGTGCACACGGCGACACAAAGCTTTGGTGGCAGTGACACTAACCCTCGGCAAAGGCACAGTTTAGTATTACGTTAACGTAACAGTTTGCCAGACATCCTCAGTGTCCTCTTTAATACAGCGTGCGAGAAACGCCGAAACGGGGCGCATTTTGGCACAGCGTTACCGTTTCACTGCGCTTTTCTACCTAAGGTAGGAATGAATTAGCGTATTTCATCGAACGCGTTTAGTGCATTTAAAAAGCAGTCAATAGGCTCCGGAACGTGCAGGAAAAGCTCGCGCATCTTCAGTACGCCTGACTAACCTTCTTCCACACGCAGTGACGTAAACTAGGCGATCGGCGACGTTCACTAAATTACTCTTTATTTGATACCTCGTTTAGACCAATCGACGAGCTGCGTGCTACGTCACGTCGCCGACCACCGAGTTGACGTCACTGCGCGTCGAAGGAGGTTGGTCACGCACAGGAAAAATGCGCAAGCTTATCCTGCGCGTTTCAGAGCCTGTTGTCTGGCACTTTAATCAACAGGGCACGTGCCCCGATTGACGGTAACGACAGTGCTAAAACGCTACGACTAAACGTTACGAATGTGCGGCTCACGTAATGCGCACCTGTCGCAGCGTGGTGCGCGAGATCGTGAAGCAGAACGCTCGCCTGGTGAACGAGACGGACATTCACTGGAACACGCCGCTGCACGTGGCGGCGCAGGGCGGCTTCAGCGAGACGGCCGCCATCTTGATAGAAGCCGGCGCCTACCTGGAGGCCAAGAACTACTACGAGTGGACGCCCCTGACGGTGGCCTGCAAGAACGGAGACTTCGACACCGTCTCCAACTTGCTGGCTGCCGGGGCGTCCGTCAACAGCGTCGACAAGATGAAGGTCGGTACGAGACGAACCTCGGACACGTTGCCTAAAACGGCTCCATGCGAACGTGTTAGTTTCATTATTTCATCGGCATCCTGAGGCTACTTTTTGGGGAAAAGCTTGCTCATCCGTAACGCAACAGCAAGTGGACCCACTCCTTGAAATAGTGTGATAATGCACAGACAAACCGACGGTAACAGATGTCCCGGAGGTAAATTTCTATTTTAGCCAGTAGAGGTAGGGCAACAATGAAATATATCATTACAGTTGGCGCGAAAAGAAAGCAGGGCATTTCGCTTGTTGCAACTATAGTATACCAGCTCCGGCCCCGATCTTCCGGAGGTGGTCGCTGAAGCGCCTTTTTACAATCCGCACCGGTGACCTCGGGTGATCGGTGCTCTGCACTGCGTTGTTCTATTCACAATGTAAAACTGGGCAGAAAATAATTTAGACTGCGCTTACAAAGTGTGGAGACAAAAAATGAAATCACATGGTGTCAGCCACAGCATACCCACTGAGTGAATGGTGATGAGTCGGACGAAGCGTTCATCAGTCCGTTCGTGCTTCCGTCCGTCCGTGCAATCGTTCGTGCGTCCGTCTGTCCATTCGTCCGTCTATCTAGTGAACACTCCAAGTACCGCCATCTCGCATATTTTCATCTTGTATTCATCATATACAAGTACCACCACCCATCGGACATTCCAAGTACTAAACGAGAGATGACTACTACTACTACTACCACTACTACTACCACTACCACTACTACTACTACTACTACTACAACATACATCGGGGACGCACCACCCACGGCTTAAGAAGTTTCGCCCCCGAAAAATTTAACGCGGAGAGCTTCTGTGCGCAGTGACGAACATGCCGACCTGATCACAAAGACTATACGAAAACGGTCAATTGTTAACGAAGCAAACCAAGGAGCTCCAAAAAAAAAGAAGGCTTTGTAAATTCCAAAGTGTGTTCGGTGAATGCCTGTGCCCATTGAGACGGGGTCAGTTGGAATGGGACGCGGCGTGCGTGTCTCCCTTCTTGCATTAATGGACACGCTGGGCATTGCGGCGCTAGGCTGGCATCTGTTGCCGCGCCTTGGCGGCCCCCTGGCACTGGGCCAAGGCATGGACAGACGGATGCACGGACGGTCGGACATGACCATGACATTGGATGGAATGGACAAAACTTTATTTAGAACTGAATGTAGGAACAGCGCAACCTAGAAGTAGTTACTTCGCAACTACGGAAGCGAAAAAAAACAAGGACAGAAAAGAGCGCTGCAGATTAGCGGCCGGACCTGGGCCACCCGCGTGGTCGCGGGAAGGTTTAGCCTTTCCGCTGCTTCCCAGGCCTGCGGGATGGCCCAAATTTGGTCTTCGAATTCTGAGCTAGCCAGAGCGTCGCGCCAACGCGTCTCGTCTGGGTTTTAGTGATCGAAAAGACACAGAAAGCATTCTTTGGAAATGCCCACACACTGCACAAGCATGGCATCAATATAATTCTTTTTTTTTAAACTTCCTTGGTTGTGCCGCTATGGTTCTTCTCTGGTCAATGCCCGCTAAACACAACAGTGTCCATGTCGAACGTAAATGCAAAGCGATGGCCACAGGAGCCGCGAATTCCCGTTTCAACGTATCATCAGCGGATACAAAATAAAGGTTACTTTGTGCGCATTTTAATTTACCAATGAACTAATTATATGCGCGCAATTCCTCGTGCCTAATTTGTAATTATTATTTCTTACATCGATTTGTACCAATTTCACATTGTAGGCCAGTCAGGATTCGTTACGGTGGCTGGAGTGAAATCGGCGCAAAATTAACAGTCATAATTCTATTGCTTGGGACAGCGAAAGCTCATATTGCCGAGTAGACGGGGATGGCTTTCTGCTCTCTCTTCGTAGAGTGCCATGTCGCTTTCCGAAATAAGTACCTCTCTCTCTCCCTCTCTCTTTGAAAAGTGTCTCTGTGACGTTGTGACAGCGGCCAAGGTAAAGCGTTGCTTCCTCAGAACAGGCCACTTCACATCGCGGCCGAGTTTGGAAACGAGTCGGTTGTGAAGCTCCTGCTAAATCGCAAGGACGTAAGGGACTTCGTCTGCAAGAGGAACGCGAACAAGAAAAACTGTCTCGACATGGCTATCGAGGAAGAGCACAGGTGAGGCTGGTTCTAGGCACTGTCCACGTTTATCGAGTTTAAGTCATCCCCAAATATTACAAGCGAGACAACTCTTAAGACAAACTTGGGCTAGAAGAAAGCACTGATACCAATTACAACAAAATATAAAAATCAGTGACCAAATGAGAACAGCCAAACTAAGCAAACAAAATGGCAAACTAGTGAAACGAGACCTACAGTTCGAACGTTTCGATTTAAGGAAAGCACCTGCCAACAACGTTTCTTTATTTCTAAAACAGTTTCGTAACTCAAATTATACCTTCTGATGCTATTTGCTAGTCAATGGGTGAAAATGCACTTCTAACTGACAATGTCATTGCCCGTGCTCTCTGCCTGAAAACCGTGTTTAAGAACCATGCTTACGCCTGCGCGTTTCGCACTACCATTAGCATGTACGAAATTTCAATGACGTCAGCAGTTATGAATGACGTCATGATAACACAGAAACCTCGTACCTTAATGCAAATTGCGATCAATAACGCATGAGTCATGGTGTTGGCAGTGGTCTGCGCATAGGTACATATGTGATGTATGGCTCGAAACTGGAAGCTTTGCAAAATATGTACCTAGCCGTATGTGTGTTTTTATACTGTATGCAAAATAAAAAAAAATACAACTTTGTTTGACTTAAGCTTGCAAACTATCAGCCTTATTCACTGAAAGCCTGCATGCTGAATGATGTTTTCTAATTCTCAGAGATGTGGTTGAAGTGCTGCTGAAGAGCCGGTTTTGGGAGGACCTGCTGCAGAACTCGACCGAGAGTGAGCAGTACGGAACTCACCAGACTCCGCTGCGAAACTTAATTCGCACTATGCCAGGTCAGTATGGCGATTCCATGTGATTCATACACGAGAGTTCAAGTACCAAGTGTCTTAGACTTATGCCCCGGTCTTGTCTTTCATTCACTAACCCATTCCCTTTTTGTATTTAAAACGCTATGACGTATAAACTGCGGCCGTACCTGAACGGCCCATTCCCTGCAATTAGGCAAGTAAAACCCCAAAACATATCACCAGTAAGCGATGGCGCCGATAAAAGGCGAGAGAGCGTATAAGCAGAAGTCAATAAATGAATCTGATATTCTGGCGCGCTAGCTTGCACCAAGAAATCAAATTAACGGCTTGTTTCAATAAAGCCGAGAACCCAATCGGTCGTAATCGAATCACCTTTCTTTGCTCGGGTGCATTCGCTGGGGCTCGCGTTGGTTGAATAATAGGTCCCTGATCAACGTCTGATTATTCAAAGGTCGGTCGCATTCTTCTCCCACGCTTTCATTCTCTGTTTTCATCAAATCCCTGATGTGAACAGGGTGAAGGGCGAGACGACAACAGGGTATAGGTTGTTGATTAGTTCACATACCCGAGGTACGAGTTCGGATCCATCGGCTGTCACGCTTTTACAGGTATTCGTAAACACTACCTGTCGATTAGTAGTGATGCAGTTCTCACGTGTCTTCTGAAGATGTAAGTGGAAATTTGTAGATCAGTGTGGCAGGGAAGCGAAGGCAAGAAACGAGCCGTCATCTTGCATTCGAGCGAAAGATAGCTTAGAGGCCCTTTAATTCACTACTCCACTTAGGATGGTGTGATATGGCAAAGACGGATGTGTATTGGTGTTGAATGGTGACAACGTTCTCGCGAACAATCGTGTTTAACGATAGCGGTACACGACCGCAAAGACTTTACTCGAGGAAAAGAATCAGCCGAAAGTAATTAAGAACGTACGGATATATATATATATATATATATATATATATATATATATATATATATATATATATATATATATATATATATATATATATATATATATATGGGTGAATAAAGGAGTAATAGAGAGACAGAGGGAGATAGACATTTCATGCCGCACACGCAGTGCAAGGTTTCACAGGTGGTCGCTCAGTGATGATGTCACCCTCAAAGATTGTAGAAGGGCTCGTGTGGCCTTCTCGGCTGATGTACCTGAAGGCCACGCACCCGAGATCTTCTCCAAAGTAAAAGGTTCATCATTCAGCCTTCTCAAGGCACACTAGCGAGTCCGGCGATCTTGTTCAAAGCCGGGACAATGGCAGAGGACATGGTCGAGAGTTTCTTCGCAATTTCAGTTATCACAGTTGAGGTAGTCAGCCATATACCAATGCGATAACTGAATTAATTGGAAAAAGCTACGCTGACCTACAACCGACACAGCATTGTAGCGTCACGTCGCGACTAATTGCACTCATGAACCGAGGTTCTGTGGGCGTCGAGTGTAGTTCAGTGGAAGGTTCCAATGCCCAAGTGTGGCATTATGCGCGATGTGGCGAAGTTCTCTTGCAGCGTTGACCCCTTGACAGGGGGTACGAGCAGTGTGGGCGCTCTCTCGTGGGCACATTGAGCTGCGTTGTGGGCGCGGTGGTCACCACTGGTCCCACAGTGACCCGGAAGCCATTGAAAGACGATGTCATGTCGTTGGTTAGTGACGCGATGACTGATTTCAACGATTTGAGACACCAACTGATGGTAGTTCCCGCGTCGTAGGCTTCGCACACACTGAAGAGCCGCCTTGGAGTCACAGAATATAGCAAATGTAAATTAACATTAAACTTAGGCTAAAACGAGGTAAGGATATAATTATACGGTAGTCCGCAACGATCATTTTGTCATAAATATCAATGATAAATATCAACGCCTAAATATCAACGATGAAATATGAACGATATTTCATCAACAATCAGTGTTTATCATTGACTTCAACCACAACGCGATGTCTAATCGAGGTATTCACTGTTTATTGCCAAAACCTATCGGCGGTTTCGATTCTACTTGCTACTCTGCGCAGACTTGGCCACGCTCGTGTTCAACAGTTGTGTCATGGTGGAAGCCGGATCTGACGAAGACCCTAACAAGTCGGTCACGTACCAGTACCAGTTCCTGGACGACGCCTTCTGCGGTTGCGGCGCCGACGACTCCGACGATGAGAGCGACTCGGACTCGGACTCGCCCGCCCCAGGTGAGTGCCTCAGTGCGGGCGTGAGGACGAATGGTGGCACCTCACACGAGTCGAATAATAAACGCAAAAGGATGGCTGCGAGAATCTCAACACTCTTACAGCTCCACCTCTGCACCGCTTCTTCAGGCAAGCTGCTTTCTCTTTGGTGTCCTGTTTGTGCAATACCCCTTCATATCAGCACGAATTAAGTACGGGTCTCTAGACAGCCGAACATGCCACTAGATAGCGGGAAAGTCTTTCAAGGCGAGATTATAACTATGACAATTAAGATAAACAGCACCCGAACAACGCAACGTGTTATATGTCACATTGTGCCAAAGTCATTTAGAAATCTAAGTGATAACGCTCTTCAATTACATCGATGTGTGAAACTGTGCTGTGCTAACTCGATAAGCGACAGCATATCGTGGACCAATAAGTAACGAAGTTGACAGTAAGCGAAAAAAGAATTCATTGTAGTCTGGCTAATCTGAGTACTCATCTGATCGAATGTCAATGACCGACTGAGACGTGGGCGCTAAAATGCAACGACTTACAAAGGTACCCTTATTCCAGTGCTCTGATTCATACGTCCATTTGATGCACTATTACAAGTAACTATTATAGTCGTGGCCAAACCGATGTACCACGCAGTGTACAACGTGAACAAAAATTTGATGCTTGTAAGATACTCTCTTTCATTCACGGTGGGCACGCTGGCGGATCCATCGAATCCGCCAGTGTGTCCACCGTGAATGAACCACACGATCCTTACATTTATGAACCAAATGGACCTGGCCACCCATTTGTAGACGGTCAGTCTCTCTCTTTCTCTCTCTCTGTTTTCATACTCGTCGAAGTCATCATCATTTTTTTTGCTCTTCCTCATCTTCTTTCATCTTTCTCCCCTCTAATCTTTGTTTCCTCTATTTCTTCCCTCCTCCTGAAAGAGTGAGCAGGCATTGTGCCCCTCCAGGTGGCAGTTGCCAGCTTGCTCTCTCCCTCTTTCCTTTGTGTCCTTGTGTATCTGTGTATGCAAATCAAATAATAATAATAATAATAATAATAATAATAATAATAATAATAATAATAATAATAATAATAATAATAATAATAATAATAATAATAATAATAATAATAATAATAATAATTCATTCACTGTTAACTATCTTGACATATGACGATGATTATTAAGACATCATATCCACCTCTCTCACAGTGAGGAAAGTGTACGATGACCATGGCAACGTGCTTCCTGGTACGCCACTCTATTCCAAGGACTTCGGTACCCTCAAGCAGAATCACCCACTCATGATCATGGTCAGTGATCAGCGCCTTCTTGCAATACAACTCGAAGCGTAGATTAAGTGCAACTAACCTTCTTCAAGTGTATTCACAGATGCCGCATTAATTCATCTGAGTATATAGCAGAGTTAATGGCATATCTTGAAGTCAATCCAGCGAGGCAACATTGTGAAATCACCATCACTGAATTCCTTATGGGCTGCCGACCTTATTACGGTACACGGGGAGCAAGACGGACCTTGATGACATGGATAAAAGAACGACTATAGGAGTGACTAATAAACGTACTATAGCTTATATAAGAACCGATCAGTATCGTAAGTAGCGTTATCCAATTCTAGCCTTCAGTGTGCGGATCTTGTTAGGCCAAATGGTGCTCGCTGCGATGAATGGACGACAAAATTCCAGGCAAAACTAACGAACCACCATTGGTTTGAACGCTGCTAGAGAGAATGGAAATGTGGGAAACTCTTGTAGAGCGGACGCGCGCTGCCGTTGCGTATAGGGTATACGATCCCCAGTTCCAGCGGCTGCGGAGCATATATCCTCTCGTATCCTCGATTCCTCGCCACAGGCAAACGAGAGGCGGCGTGCCCTACTGGGCCACGAACTGTGCAAGAGCCTCTTGCTGCACAAATGGGAGAGCTACGGCCGCTACGTGTACTACTCCACCATGTCCATCTACCTGCTCTTCCTGGGATGCCTCACGTCGTTCGCCATGGGCACTCCGGCGCCATGCCCGCTGGACTTCCCGCATTTCAACACCACGTGCTCGTGAGTGACGTTGTTACGAATTAATCACTGAAGCCTAATTACATAACTGAAATTGCGAATTGTAACTCTAAAGCTCAGTTGTTTACTATTGTGATTCGCTACTTCTAGCCGGGCAAGCCGGGACTAGAACTTGGTAGACTATGACAAATAGAGCTCTACGCACTCAAAAGACAAAGAGCACATACGCGGTTGCGCGTATTATACCTAAACTCACTAGGCACCAGCGGTAATTGAATTTTCGTTTTATGGTGTAGAATACGAATGTTAAGTCCTTGACTGCCCATATTCTGGTTTACTAGTGTTTCACAAAATGTTACGCATCCAGTATAGTTTATGAACTACTACTAATATTCGGTATTTACCGCATTCATGCTGCTATTATGTCGCATATAATTTAACAACCAATCATCCTTATACCTAAATACAGGAGGTTGATGAGCAACATGAGAAACTTTCTTGTCCTGTAGATGCCTGCCTTTATGCACCACCTTTTTTTAACACTGTCAGCAAAAAACAACAGGGCAGGTTTGGCAGGAAAAAAAAGCACTTTGCGATAGGTGGAGAGACGCTAGAAGTTCTAAAAGAATATGTCTACTTAGGACAGGTAGTAACCACGGGGCCGAATCATGAGAGCAAAATAACTAGAAGAATAAGAATAGGGTGGATCACATTCGGCAAGCATTCTCAAATAATGAATGTTAATCTGCCTCTAACCCTCAAGAGGGAGGTATATAGGAGCTGCATCTTGCCGAAGCAGAAAACTGGAGATGCACAAAGAGGTTTCAGCTTTAATTGAGGACGACGCAGCGAGCGATGGAAAGGAAAATGATTGAGGTAACTTAAGAGACAAGAGAGCAGAGTGGGTCAGGGAACAAACTGGAGTTAAGCATATCATAGTTCAAATCAAGAAGAAGAAATAGACATGGGTCGGACAAGTAGCACGTAGGCAGGATAACCACTGGTTATTAAGGATAACTGACTGGATTCCCATAGAAGGCAAGCAGGTGAGGGGGAGACAAAGTTAAGTGGGCAGTTAATGACAGTTTGCGGGTATACAGTGGCAGCAGCAAGCACAGAAGCGAGTTTACTAGTGGAACATGGGCGAGGCCTTTGTCTAGCAGTGGACGCAGTCAGGATGATGATGATTATGATGATGATGCTGCTGCATGATGATGATGATGATGATGATGACACCATTTGTTCCTTTGTTTTATCTGTGCAGGTTTATCTCGCGATACAACACCTGCGCCGTCATCGGTGAAGCATCTGACGAAGGACTGTACATGCAGACGGACTTCGCTCGGAAAGCTAAAATTATCATATTCATGGTGTCCCTCATATTCCTGTTGAAAGAGGTTAGTCTTATGCGCATGTAAACCTGTGCAGAAATGTGGATAGAATAAACACCATGTTCGCAGGTTTTCCAAATGTACAACACGCGCTGGAACTACCTCGACCTCGAAAACCTGTCGGAATGGAGCTGCTATGTCTGTTCTCTACTTTTTGTCTTCAACTTCACTGACTGTTCAGCATCAACCGGCGTCCCAGAGGTACTCCTCTGCTAATTTTCAGTTGTGTACAGCGCCCTACAATTGATATTGCGTATGTCGTATACCTCTTTTTCTTTCACGTGCATTTCGAGATATTAGCATGTCTTAAAACATTTTAGCAAGAGTCTCTAGGGTTTTAGATGCCAGGCCTTGATTTGATAATGAGACGCACCATAGGAGAAGGCTTCAGAAATTCAGACTGCAATCACAATTTGGTGCTCCTCAACGAGCGCCAAATCTAAGAAAACAGGTCTTTAGCAGTTTACCCCCAGCGTAGTTCCTCCGCCACCAGGATCGAACACACGCATTTCAGGTCAGCATCCAAGAACCATAACTACGGTACCACTGCGGCGGCTCCTAAAACATTTTGTGGCCCGACTTGACGTACCCGAGGCGCTATCGGTAAGCACTGATGACACTCGCAATCACTCGACAGGTTAATAAATGAAATAACGAATCAATCAGTTAATCACGCAGTTTTATCAATCAGCATTTACCATCACTGATTAGATTCGCAGCGTTTTTTTTTCTTGGCGGGAGGAGGGGGGGGCAACAGTTTCGCAATAATCAAAACACTGCTGCTTCTGGTGGCTCTTTTTGTCGCACCCACAATGTGAAACATCAGCTGAGACAGTAGTAGCAGTACGGGCGAACTTTCAGAAATCATGTAATGATCATTTATGCAAATTCACTCACGTATGTTTTGTTTCTGGCGCATTCAAGCACACGCACCACTACTATCTGATTGATTCGGAAGCACATGCACCGAGTGAACGCCTCGAAGATGACGTATTGTCAAAACGAAAAAAAAACGAATACGAGGAAATTTGGGACTGCACTAATAACCTCAAACTTTTTCGCCCACTGGCCTCCTTGAAACAGAATTGACCAAATGCAGGAATGTGGATGTTTCAGTCTTTAAAGTGAACGCTGGAGTAGTTCTACAATTCGGTAAATATTTGTAGTTATAAAGGACCGTTATTATTGCCGACGATGTCGTAATTTTTTCCGCAGTTGCTCCAGCAGGAACTTTAAAATGCGTGAAATTTTTGTCTTGCCCCGTCCACGTGAGCGCGTTGAAAATTTGGACGTGGAAACGAACTGGAACCACGTCCTATTTGGAGCCCTTGGCGAAGCTGCGCTGCACTCCGACGGAAGTTTCCAACCGCTTACTAATCCGCTTAAATTCGAGAGCACTGTCTGTGTTCCTCAGACTCAAGTAAGCATATATACGCTGAAAGTTATGCAGTCGAATTAGAGTATCTGCCGTAACGATATACAGCCGAGTGCAGTGTGAACGAGTGTCTCTCGTATCTGCAAACATGGCCTCCGTGAGTAGCTCCGGCGGCGCGTATTTCCAGAGCTACTCGCGGAGGCCAAGCTTTAATTGGTGCTGTTGTTGCACATGACACGGCACATCGAGGATGACGTCGCCGCGTTCACTTGCATCTTCAGAAGTACGGCGACTGCATCCGCTATTTTTTCGACAAAAATACTATTGATGTTCACTTTTAACTACTCTCACATCGGGTTTAGACTCCAACAGAGATCGAACTGTGATTACTCCAAGATCATCCTTTTAAGCACTTCAGCCTACCTCTAAATGACGTCACGTTCGTGTGTCTTACAGCCGTGGCAGTGGCACCTGGGTGTTGTGTCCGTGTTCCTCAGCTGGGCCCTACTGGTGATCTACATTAGAAAGTTACCCTTCCTAGGAATCTATGTGGTGATGTTCACGAACGTGCTCAGCACCTTCTGCCAGTTCTTCATGGTCTTCTTCCTCTTCATTGTGGCCTTCGCCCTGACTTTCTTCGCACTTTTGCAGAATCAGGTAGGAATCGTATTGCGTCACGCGGTATTACTCGGTAATGAAAATAAAACTCTCATGCAGTTTTCTTATATTTGCTCATTCTGTTGCGTTCAAAGAGGTGCTATGTTTAGTTTTAGAGGTTTCTGGCATACCTGACCATAGCTAAACCGCTTCTTGTGATCAGCTATAAAACAGCAATACGTACAAAGATGAACGTTGTCCAGGTTTCCCATTATTGCTGTCTGCGAGACCGTTTCTTTCTGAATAAAATTAAGTGGGAAGTATACAGAACAAACAAACAAGCAAACAAACAAAAACATGCTGTTCAACAGTGAATTGGAGACCTTTTTTTTTTCGGGGCTGAGGGGTGACTTGAGAAGAGCTTCAGATGAAGGCAGGCGTTAGAATAAAAACATTCCCGAAGCGTACTACCACTCATACCTACACGTTAGCGAACGCGATGGGTGATTCAATGAGGAGCCAGTTACATAACATCATGCAGCAGTTTTTATAATTCGCAAGGTCACCCGTCAAAACAAATTAAACGTATATTGCAGCTAGGGAACACGAAGTGAACCAGGAAACGCGCCGTACAACAACACAAAAACTTATAGCAATATCCTATCAATGATAATGATGGTGGCGGTGATCGGTCGGGTAGGCATACCAGCAGGGGGAGGGGGGGGGGGCAAGGGGGGCGCTAGTCCCCCAATTGAGAAAAGTTGGGGGGGCTGAGGCCCCCGATTTTCGACAGTGGTCGCTGTCGGCTGCACGCTGGGGAAAATAACAACTATAGGCAAAAATTTTCCTTCATCACTGTAATCACTCAGCTATATTGTTACGAGAAAATGAGAATATTACGAGAGAATGTAACAACATAGGGATGACTTTCAAACATTTCAGCAGTGACGATTTTCCATCGTCGCTTGCTGTAGCACTGCACAGAAGGTTAGCGTTGAACAGCGGCCCTATAATATTACATAACTTGTTCATGTTTGTATTCTACTGTGACTGGCCGATGCAGTTATAGGTGGGAACGAACACACCTTTTAAGAATTGGTCAAAGCATTTGCTGTTTCAGGAAAATAATTTTTTATCGAAAAGGAGTAGCATCACCGCGGCTTTGTCAAAGCTGCTGTGAGCCGATGATTGAAACGAATCTCTTCTGAATGTTTTAGTTTTGTTGTATTGGAAGCGCCAGGAAAGGTTTCCGCTTTAATATCCAATAAATGTGATCAGCCTTGTTTACGGTAACTTGGAGCGATGGAGGCAGCTTGCAAAGCCGCAATGAATAAAGCAGTGAACTCGAGCTCAGCGGGAAGATAAAATTTTTAAGTAGATAGAAACGCTCAAAATATTGTTTCACGAGTGCGGTAGGTTAGCCCCCCCCCCCCCCCCACTCGTGAAAAAGTTGGGAGTTGGTACGCCAGTGTCGGTCGGACACATTACCACACCCTAGCCGGAATAACTCATGCGTCCTCTCGCTGCAGAAGCTCCAGCGTCCTCTATAACGAAACGATGAAGTTAGAGAAACTGCACAAGTACCACTTGCGTTCTCCCGTACCGTTGCAGGCCCCCTTCGACACCCCATGGAAGGCAATCATGAAGACCACAGTGATGATGGTCGGCGAGATCGAATACGACAGCATATTCACGGAGAACGTGCTGCCCTACGAGACCTCCTCCTACATCCTGATGGCACTGTTCATCGTGCTTATGACCATCATAACGTCCAACTTGCTCGTCGGTCTGGCGGTCGACGACATCAAGGAGGTCCTAGAACAGGCCGAGCTCAAGAGGCTAGGAATGCAGGCATGTATAGACCGATGCGCTCGCAAGACATACAGAAATTCAATGACAGCTTTCATTATATTCGGGAGCTGAATTCGCAAAGTTTATTTTTCGTAAGTTCGTTTTCCCATTGAACAGTGGGCTTCAGTTATGGTATGTCCAGAGTAGTGACTGGCTGAAATTTTATCGTACGAAACCATTCTAGCGCAAGACTCTTTTTTTTTTTTTAGAATTAGAAATAGCACTTCTTTTCAGTGAACACCGTCGGTGCCATTGTAGAATGCAGTACATCTAAAAAAATGAAGGGTACACACGCAGATCAGTCACAGAATACCACAATGAAGATGAAAAAAAAACAAAAACAAAAGGTGTATTTCAACGAAGCATCGCGTGAATTTCGTCAAATGTCTTAGAAATTCTGTTTGTCCGATGTGGCTTGCAACGTAATAGTGAGCAATGTGTTCCGGGCTTGGGACAGTTATAGAGCACACGTTCAATGCTGTGATCTCTTGCTGCCATACTATATCCCACAGGGAAAGACGAAAAGAATCTTCAATTTTCTCTATTGAAACGTGCTTACATAATTATTTGAGTTGGCGATTAATGAAACAATTTCTCTCCGTTACAGCTATGAATCTCGTCCCGCACCAATCGTCATCTTTTCTAACAACTTTTAATTACAACGATCGGATACTGTAGCCGTTGACACAGTTAGTGAATATAGTTAACGGCGTATGGTAACTTCCTTGACGCAGTCGACGATTAACGAATGTTCACGCACAGGTGAAGCTAGTTCTGACAGTGGAGACGATGCTGCCCACGTGGGTCCGACGCCAAGTCATCGTGCAGAAGAGGACCGTAAAGCCTAACAAGAAGACCAAGCTGGCCATCCTACTGCGACGAATGTTCGGCATCAACGTCCACACGGTTCAACACAAAGGCCAAGACGAGAAAGTAAGCGAGCAAATTCGAATTCACCACACGTAAGTTAAACATTCGATCAACTGAAATTCGACGGACGTGCTACGCAATGCGGTTACCCGAACAGAGTGAAAGACCAGTGTAAATTAAATGCTTCCTACGAGATTTTGAAAATGTATGATGAGGTATTTTTTTTAATTATAGTGAAAATCCGAGTTGCACTTCTAACCTCCCGTATTCGGAAACGCTACTTGACTTGAAATTGTCTTGAAACCGCCTTCAATGCAGGGCGTTCCCAACGTGTCTGTGCATTTGTGCTGCCTTGGCACGGCGTAAAGACAGAGCGTTCGAAACGCGTTTGTGCTGCATTGAAGTCGGTGGCAAGTCAAGATCAAGTTAAGCAGCGTTTTTTTTTTTAATACGGGGGTTACGTCACTAGCAGTCAATCTGTAGGAATTGCTCTGTGTCAGCACTTGAACTGTACCTCGACCTGGAATAACTGCCACAATCATTACCCCACTGTGGCACTCTTTGGCTGTGCTAAGTTTTAGTAGAATAATTTGAAGTACACTTTAATATATTTCACTTTGTATATTTCAACCATTCTTCGTATGTACCGCCTAAAAATCTTATATCGGTATATACTCGTAAACACGTCATTTTTATATAATTTTAGGATGCCTTCCTTTCTGAGAAATGCAGTTCCGCAACGGCTCATACGTGCATCGGCAGTTTAGAATTAAAGAGGTGAAAAATAAGTACATTCAAAACAGATTGTAAATATGTAGACATATGAAATGTAAATATACCGTAAATGTGTTGTTATGGACCTCAAAAATATATGGATTGTTAAAAAGGTTTTTGCTTAACACACAAATTATGTTGTTTTTCAAGCTTGTGACAGGACGCTACGTTAGGCTAGGATAAACTTCGACCCCTCGTCTTTTTTCGCTAGTAATGAAAACTTGCCACAATAGAAACGCGAACGCAGTTCCGAAACTGCGAACATAGTCTCTAATACGCTGTCTGTAAAACAACGCAGATATGCATAAATATTCGTATTTATTGACTGCGCTTTCTCTAAAATTTTCGGAGCCGTTAGCTTAACCCGTTGTATCCGCTCCTTCTCGCCCAGTACACGGTAGAGAAGGTCTACGAGCACCAGGAGGCCATGGAGCGCATGCTGAGACACCTCGAGGAGCGAATGAACATCCTCACCCAGCAGGGTCACCGGCTCGAGAAGGCCCTGAACGCGCTGTCGCATCGCCTGGACGACGACTCGGACGGCAGGTCTCGCTCGGCGAGAACTTCGTTGTCTAACGATTTGTGACCACGCGGGCCGACTGCAGTCCATCGTTAATAGAGTGTCGTGTTTGTGTGATCGTCCTCACGTTTTTTTTTTTTTTTACGTTTTAACGGGTAAATAAAGAAACGGTTGCACGTCAAACGCTGGCAGCCTCTCTTTAGCGAAGTGTTTCGTTATTTTAATATGTGATGTCAAGGCATATAATGCTGATGTTCCTGGGATGATTGGGCAACTACCCACTCTGGCGGACCGGCCTAGAGTCCGGCGTATCATACAGTCTGAAATCGTTAAGTACTAATGAAGGTTACCGTATTAATTAGGTTGAAGAGTTAACTGTAATGAATCCTAGTCCTAGCCTAGACCACGTTGCGTAACCTCACGAAGACCAAGTATAATTATGCCATGTTGACATACATACATACATACATACATACATACATACATACATACATACATACATACATACATACATACATACATACATACATACGCACGCACGCACGCACGCACGCACGCACGCACGCACGCACGCACGCACGCACACACACACACACACACACACACACACACACACACACACACACACACACACACACACACACACACACACACACACACACACACACACACACACACACACACACACACACATACATACATACATACATACATACATACATACATACATACATACATACATACATACATACATACATACATACATACATACATACATACATACATACATACATACAAAGAAAGAAGAAAGAAAGAAAAAGAAAGAAAGAAAGAAAGAAAGAAAGAAAGAAAGAAAGAAAGAAAGAAAGAAAGAAAGAAAGAAAGAAAGAACAACGAGGAAAGAGGCTCACGAATCTGACCGTAGTTATTTCTATCAGGAAACAGATGGTTTGAACGTTTGCTTCGTAAGCATTTCTATTTATTCAGAGTTTTATCCCTAAACTAATTATATGGCGAAGCTCCTTAAGTCGTTGGTCGTGCGTCTCCTGTATCTAGTAGCCACCTCTCGTTTTAGTCCTTGGAATGTCTGCTGGATGGCGTTGCTTGTATATGACGAAAAAATGCGAGATAGCGGCACTAGAAGGGTTCACTAGATGGACGGACGAATGGACGGGCGGTTGGACAGACAGACAGACAGACGGATGGACGTGGCCAGCGAATGATTTATGGTTTGCCGATAAACCCTTCGAAGCTTCGCCCCACTCATTATTACTCATCATCAGCATCATTCATCATTCTCATCATCATCATCATCATCATCATCATCATCATCATCATCATCACTCCATGAATATGCTGTGAATTTTTAAGATTGGTGTTATTCTCATTACTTTAAGCATCCTGCCAACCGGTTATTCGCTCATCCTCCTTTGTGGGTGAGCGCCATCAACATAAGGTCTTCACCATTATCATCATTATCATCACCGATAGGGGCACAACGCTTGCATACTCTTAAGGAACGAGGCAATAAAAACTCACAAGGTCACTTATGCTTCGTCTTTTTTCTTCTCTCATTCAATGTACTAATCTGTTACAATGCCTAACAGTAAAGTTCCTTGAATCTGTGGCACACACCTACGCTGGGAGATTGGTTGGTTGATTGTTTGGTTCCTGAATTCCTGGCGCAGCCCACCATGGGGGATCGGCCATGAAACGGACAATACCTTGCTTTAGAAATAACATTGTATTAGCAGCCAAATACGTTGAGATATCAATGTTTGAAAAAGGTATTGGTGAAACAAATAAAATAGCATTAAAGATAGAATAAATAAAATGAATGAAGAAACAAGAAAACCCAACAAACTAATAGTGTTGAAAATACAGTGAATTAATGCCCAAGCTTAATATTTTAGTTGTTTAATCAGAATAATAATAATAATAATAATAATAATAATAATGTTTATTTTTCATCGATAGTTTGATGAAAGACAGCTGCAGGTAAAAGCTGCTCTCCAAAAGAGGCAGCTTGACAAAGGCCCACAGCTACCTTTTAGCACGACAGCAGTGGCAAACAACCAGCAATGTGAAGTCAACAACAATAACAACAACACCAAATAGATAAATAAATCTTTTGGGAAATCGCAAAACGCTTAGCAAACGTGCCTGAGGCTAAAGTCCTTTTCAGTTGCTCCAAAGACAAGGACCACCAGATGGGACAAATTTAAAGCCACCCTACGGAAAGGTTTTTTCAACAGTCGTTTCCTTTGATTAGTAAATAACCTTTATGTCAAGAAGAAATGATGCAGAGATTCGCTTTCGTTGCAGTGGGGGCATAAGGGTAACTGCACTAGACCAGGCATTTGTAGATAAAAATTCAGTGTGGGGGGAGGGGGAACTCAGCATCATAGTCTAGCTATTGATATTTCCACCCTTCTGCCAAGAGCACGCAACACCATAACGTCACCTTTTCCTCCTCATCTACGTTCCAAGAACGCATCTCTGATCATCACAAATGATAATTAAATCTTTCACCATTTGCGATTTGAAATCACACTCCTTAAGAAGCACCACTTCAATACGAGCCTTAAAGGAAATGCAACTGAACTACTTCATATAGAATGCATGTACGTGTTGGGTCACAATGAAATCAGACTTTTGGGCTTAAACTGGAACAGATGCTTCACTTGCTGCTCCTTGAGCACACGGCCGTAACCTGAAACGCTACAAAATATACATTTGAACTGATACTCCGGTCTGTATACTTGTATATATGCTTCTAATACACTTACAAAGTCAACCCCACAGTGATCCATGGTTATAAGTGAGTACGCGTGTTATTATCATCATCCTAATTGAGAAGCAAAGCTTAAGGAGTAAATCTACCAGTAATTTTATCACTTGGCGGAACTTCAGTTGGTTACTGCCACAGGGATGTATGCTCCACTGTGTTTGATTACATCAATGCAACTAAAAGATTACCATGCTAGTGAACCCCAATCTTTTCAGATTTTTAGTTTATAATTCGTAGCTATGTCTGTCATAAACAAGAGATGGTTTGACCACTTGCTCAGCAAACATTTTTTTTGGGGTAGTATTATTTTTGAACTACTTTTTCAGATTGGCTTCATTTTCATTTTAGTTTCATTTAAGTATCCTGCCGCCCGGTTCTTGGCCCATCCCCCTCTGTGGATGAGCGCCATCCATAAGAGGTCATCATCATCATCATCATCATGACTTCGGTGTGCTCGTCGGAAGCACGCATCAACGCCGGAGGCACTGAAGGCGGAGGAGGCCCTGTTCTGGAAGCGCTGCCCGGGTCTGCATCCGGTGACGTGGCCAGCGTCGACCGGTCGGCTCGTGCGCAGCTTCCCGCGATTCTGGAAGAGCTCCGGCGCGAGCAGCGCAGGGACCAGCGCTACGTGCTCGTCGGCTGCCTGCTCGTCTCGCTCGCCATCGGCACCGTCGTGGCCGTGCTCGTGTCGCGCCTTTCGACGGACGCGTCGCCCGACCGCCGGCCGCCGCCCCCTGCCGGCGGGCCACCGCAGAGACCGTCGCTTTCAGAAGCGGCCGACGAGGGACCCAGGGCAGATGGTCAACGACCTACCTCGTGGGACCTGCTGATACCCAGCGGCATATTCACCAATCAAAGCGCCCCTGCCTGAACGACGTCACAGCTGGAAAGGGCAGCGCCACTGATTAAGTCGTATGCACGGTATAGTCTGATACTTGAAACGATCTGACTCATATGCGATACACTTTTCAGCAGTGCATTTGCAGGAAAAGGTGCGCGAAGCCGAAGCGACAGGGGCGTGAAGTCATCATGCAGCGTCATAACACCTTTATGCCGGGCATGACCGAGTGAGCGACCGACTTCAAAACAAAGGGTGATGTCCGTGAAGAACACGAGTATGGAGTGATGGTTGATCGCGGGGTTGTCTCCCGTCCATCCTTGAAATAGTAGTACATGTATCGATTCCAGTAAATACATGCCTATCACCAATAAAGCAGTAGCGCTTTGTGATTTAAAGCTAAGCTTATAGATAATTAACCTCCTCTGGTACTGTTACAACTGAAATCGAACTTCGGACCTTCTATTCAAAAACGTACTAAGGGTAATTATATTCTCAATTCATGCGTTTTTACTCCACACAAATGTTCTACACGCGGTGCAATGTTATTAATTCTGCAAAAGTTGATTTTACTAATTGTCAAACATTTTTTTTTGTCTCACATATGGTTCTACTATACCGCACGTTACCCGAGCATCGCCCCATATATAAAGTAAATTGATAAAGTGACAGAGTCGACAACAAAGCTACATCCTAATGTCCATAATACGTTAAGGTCACTTAGTAAAAAAGTGTTTGTGCTTGTGCTTTATATTGGTCTGCCACAATTATGATTGACATTGGTCTATTGTAAGACCTTGTTTTTGTGTGTGTGTGTGTGTGTCTTCTATATCTTTCCCCGTGTAATACAGCCGTGAAAACGGACAAGCCTCACACTTAACTTCCTAAAACTTTTTTTAGTTTTAGTTTTTTTAGTTTTAGGTGACGCATAGGTCACCACCGCGTCATAATGAAGGCATCTATATACAAGTATCTATACATTCTTGCAGCCTCGGCGGAACTACTACTCCGCAAATCCGACACGCACATTTAATTTTTCTTGATAAACGCAGATAAACGCTAACTTACGTTCACGCATCATGTCCCCCTTTAATTCTCCCTGTGCAGCGTTTATAGGACGGGTAAAGCAACATTTAACGATTACACGACGATCACTCATATCGCAGTGTTCGGTTATCCTAACAGCACATTACCTTTGCGTAAACTCACTTAATTTATGGCGTTAGGATTAACGTTGTCTGGCAATCCATTAAACAAGCTCAGAGCTGGCCAATCGACGCTAATGTCGATTGCGCTTAGAGTATGATATCTGTGGTTGGAATCGTTGCGCATCGGATAGGACGAACACATGAGGGAAAAGACAGAGTAAACAGAAAGAGCAAAAGCTACCAACTGATGCTGAGTTCATGGTTGGCAATCTTTCCGTTAACTCTTGCTTTTACCCTCCTGTGTTCGTCCGATCCGATGCGCAACGATTCCAACCACAGATATGCGCAGACTA